CCCACCCCTCAACAAAAAAAAGACAACAAAAAAAAAAAAAAAAAAAAAAGAAAGAAAGAAAAGAAAAGAAAAGAAAAATGAGTTGGGTGTCCTGATGCACACTGGTAGTCCTAGCTACTTGGGACCCTGAGACAAGAGGATAGCATGAGGTTGCAGTGAGCTATGATGGTTCCACTGCACTGTAACCAGGGCAACAGAGCAAGACTTGGTCTCATAAAACAAAACAAAACAAAACAAAAAAACTCAAAATGCTAGAAGTAAATGATGAGAAAAATGCAAAAGAATGCACAAACATATACTGTAACATTAGTATCATGAAAAGTATAATGTAATGGTACTAGAACAGGATATATATAGTCTATGATGATGCAAAAGCAATATGCACTTGGTAAAATGTGTATTTCAAGTATCAACGAATACTTTGCTTTTCACTTTCAAAACAGTATTCAAAAAATTACAAAAAATATTCAACATTTCATTAAAAAATAGGCTTTTATTAGATGATTTTGCCCAACTGTAGGCTAATATAAGTGATCTCAACACTTTACTCCCTGAGTTTTACCCATTTCTATGGAAGGCAACACTGCTCTGCCATTCTAAAAGATCTTTGTCCTCCCAATTCTGAGTCACCATTCCTTAGTGATTCCTTAGGATTACCTTTAAAATCGATTATGTATTTAAAACTTTATAGCCACCAGACTGTCCTTTTCCCCAGGATTATTACTATTGGCAGTTTTTCTGCCTCCTATTTCTTTTGTGCCAATACACCTCAAACTACTTTCAGATTGATACTCTCTGCTCACAAGTTTAAAACCCTAGAGGCTAGGCAGGGTGCAGTGGCTCATGCCTATAATCCCAGCACTCTGGGAGGCTGAGCCAGGTGGAATGCCTGAGCTTATGAGTTCAAGACCAGCCTGAAAAAGAGACAGACCCTGTTCTAAAAAATAGCTGGACATTGGAGTGGCCACCTATAGTCCCAGCTACTCGGAAAGCGGAGGCAAAAGAATCACTTGAGCCCAAGAGTTTGACGCTGCTGTGAGCTATGATGCCATTGCACTCTACAGAGGGCGACAGAGTGACACTGTTTAAAAAAAAAAAAAAAATCAATAGTTTGAGCATTCAGGGCCTTTCATTATATACCAATAGGTCTCATTGCTGTTTATTTCCAAAAAGTTTACTTACCGATAGAACCCTTTGTTCTAGTCACAAATTTTGAAATATACTAATGATATTAAAAAGTCTTTAACAGCCAAAAGAAATGTACTACTACACTTAATATGCATCTCAATTTTAAGATACAGTCTAGCCGTGACTGAACTAAGCTGATAGACCTTAAAAACACAATTAAGGCTTGGCACCCATAGCTCAGTGGGTAGGGTGCCGACCACATACACCGGGGTTAGTAGGTTCAAACCCAGCCCAGGCCTGCTAAACGACGACAGTTACAACAAAACATAGCTGGGCAGTGTGGCAGGCATCTGTGGTCCCCACTACTTGGGAAGCTGAGGCAAGAGAATCACTTAAGCCCAAGAGTGTGAGGTTGCTGTGAGCTGTGACGTCACAGCACTCTACCAAGGGCGACATCATGAGACTCTGTCTCAAAATAAATAAATAAATAATAAAAACACAATTAGTGAGTTTTATGTTTCACTTTAGACTGTAAGAGAGTTAATTTAAAATGTAGGAGAGGCCAAAAGATTGACAATGATCATTTGTTGTCTATACTATAATAAATATACTAGAACTCAACTTTTGGGGAAAGGAGTGGAGAGACCAATTGTAACTGAAATTTGAATTAAACCAAAAACAATCCCAATAGATTTTTTTCTTCATAAACTTGAAAGCCCATTTTACCGCTACAAATGTGACTCATTTACCATTTATCAAAATCATAAAATAACTTTATCTGTTAACCTTTTTTTTTTTTTTTGGAGACAGTCTCCAGCTGTCAACCTGGGTAAAGTGCTATGATGTCATAGCTCACAGCAACCTCCAACTCTTGGGCTCAAGCAATCCTCTTGCCTCAGTTTTTCTAATTTTAGTAGGAATGGGATCTCGCTTTTGCTCAGGCTGGTGTCGAACTTGTGAATTCAAGCAATATACCCGCCTCGGCCTCCCAAAGTGCTAGGATTAGAGGGGTGACCCACCACCCTGGCCTTATCCATTAACTTCTTTGCACTGTCATTAGAAAGTAAGCTCCACGAAGGTAAAGAACTTGGTTAGAAGGCAAGACATAGTAAACCAATCAAGATAGAAGGAATGGCATTTGTCTCTAACTTGGCTAGAACTCTCCAATTTCTACTAAAGGGTTTATTTTCGGAAGTGGTTTATTTTGTTTTTCATGCAGCTTACTTTGCATGTCAGAATTCTATTTTAGAAACTGGTGCTGAAACCAAAGGGTCTTTAGTTATTTGCCTACATCTTTTCTCAAATGTATTTTAAAATTTTACATGTACATTCAAAATTACACTAGTTCTTAGGCATGGAGTAGAAGGGAGTTTGCTACTTTACAAACAGTAACAATAATAATTTATTATTGTTTATTAATAATAATAAAATAACCCAGGAGGCCGGGTTATTTGGTTATTTCCAGAAAATTTTTGTAACGTCTCTGGATATCATAATGTAGTGGCTGGCAAGGTGCCAACACAGGAAGGATGGATACTTTTTTTTTAAGAGACAGAGTCTTACTTTTTTTTTTAAGAGACAAAGTCTCACTTTGTCCCCCTTGGTAGAGTGCAGTAGTGTCACAGCTCACAGCAACCTCCAGCTCCTGGGCTTAGGCGATTCTCTCGCCTCAGCCTCCCAAGTAGCTGGGGACCAAGGGACCACAGGTGCCTGCCACAACATCCAGCTATTTTTGGTTGTAGTTTGACCGGGGCTGGGCTTGAACCCACCACCCTCAGTACATGGGGCAGGCACCTTACTCACTGAGTCACAGGTGCCTCCTGGAAGGACACTATTTTTTCATAAAGTGTTTGTTGTTGTTTAATATAAAAGCACTCTGTTAAAAACATCAGGACATGACAAAAAGCTACTTTTCTATATTTGACAGGAATATGCTGCTTTCTGGCTTTTCTGTTATCAACTCTTCACAAAATTATTTAGATTTGTGACTACTAAATAAATAATTGAGGAACTTAAATGTCAATCTGACAAACCTGCCAAACATCTTATTCTTTCTATTTCTGGTATTTTGGTATTACAAGTACAGCCTGAAGAATAGACTCTACCTGTAATAGAAAAGGTATTGCTTGACAATTTTCACAATACTTTCTTTTAAAAAGATCATGGCAAGCTTATATAGTACAACTGCATACTAGAACAAAACAAATCAGGCTTTGAAAATTCACTGTCCAAACACTAATGGTTCCGAGCAATTCTCTCCTCTCCCTTTTTATCACTAGCAAATACACTGTTAATAGACCCATCAAAAATTCTCCCTCAGTGAGACATTTCTCTGCTCTCCTTTAGAAAAACAGTCTTTGAAAGTGTTACGTATATTAGTTTCCTCAGTCCCTTGTGTACCACTTTCTCCTGAACTCATTCTAACAAAGTTTTCACCCTCTCCCCCTCTACCAAAACTGCTCAACAATGTCCCGAACAACCCTGGCCCACCAAATTCAACTGACTCATTTCTCAGTCTTCACTTTGACTTGTCCTTGGCATCTGAGTCAGGTGATCACTCTTCCCTCTCTAAAATACTCTTTGCTTGCCTTCCACATACTACATGTTTGGTCTTCCTTCTACTTTTATTAGTCACTCCTTTCCTCATCTTTCATATCTCTAACTCTTGGAATACATCAAAGGCCTAATTCCCATACCTCTTCCTTGTCTGTGCTCCCCAGTACTCTCTATTCTCCTTGGCTGCATTTGTCTCTTCAGGATTTAATTAATATTACAGGCACAAGGTAAGGATTTCTATCTGGTTTGTTTAGTGCTGTATGCCCAACACCTAGGACAGGTGTAGCTCATTATAGAAGTCTAACAAATATTTGTTGAATGAATAAAAGGACAGAAACAAAAGTGGTAATAACAGTAATAGCCATTTTGTACTTGGAACTTATCAGCCAGATACCCCAACAAGCATGTCACATACATTTCTTCATTTAATCTTCAAATAACCACATGAGATACCCAAGACTTTGCAGGAGTGGGGACAGAGGTGGTTTGCATGCACCAAATCACAAAACTTCTAAACTATAGTGCCATGATTTAAACCCAAATATAAATCATCTTCACTTTTCCCTGCAGTTGTGATTTAATTTCCATTTTCTTTGTGAAGACAAACATTCTTTCTTTAGTTAACATCAACTTAAACATTATAGTGGAGATTTTGGTTTGGTTTTGATTTTGGAGCCAAAGTCTCTCCCTCTGTTCCCCTGGCTAGAGCGTCACGGCCTTAGCTTAACTCACAGCAACCTGAAATTCCTAGGTTTGAGCAATCCTCAGCAGGCATGTGCTACCACACCCAGCTAAATTTTCTATTTTTAGTAGAGATGGGGACCTCACTTTGCTCCTGAGGCTGATCTTTAACTCCTGACCTTAAGTGATCCTCCAGCCTCAGCCTCCTAGAGTGCTGGAATACAGGCATAAGCCACCCAAGCTGGTCTTAAAGATTCATTTTTAAGACAAAGCACCCTACACTGCCATTTTTGGTGATAAAAGAACAAGTAAGAAGAAACACCAACCTCCTTCAAGTGTTAATGGAAGCACTTACAACTTCCAGTCTCTCCTATTTCTATTAAAAAGCTTAAGCCAAACCTGGCTGAAGAGTCACCTAGGAGCTTTTTTGTTTTATGAAAACAAGATTCCCAGGCCCAACTCCAGAGCAAGTGATTCAAAATCTCTAGGAAACAGGGCCCAGGAACCCAGTATTTTATAAAGCTCCCTAGGAAACCTTGGTAGTTAGCCAAGTTTGGAAAACACTAAATAAACCAAAGTTGGCAAGAGACTAATCCCTCTGAGCATCTGGGTCACTGTTTGACACTGGTACTGACCTTCTTGGAAAGATGAATGATGCTGTTGGGTCGAACAAGCCTCCGTTTCTTACAGCTCAGTACAGGACGTGTTCGGGCTGCCACACAGGTGCCATCAGATGAAGAAGAAACTAGATTCAGTCGTTGCTTTTTATGTAATTGTTCCTCAGCATCAGAGCTGTCACCTGGAATGTGGTCTGCCAAGACAGGCTGTAGACTATACAAGGAGAAGGAAGAGTATTCACTTCCCAGAAAATACAAAGAAACAAAGCCTTTATTATTGGTCTAACCTCCTCTACTTGCAAATGCTCACAGAGGCAAATAGGCATTACAGAGCAGAAGCAGGTAATCTCCTGATGTCTACCAATCTCACTGTGTGTGCTTATGTGTAAGGATCTTGACACACACTACCTGTATCACTCTGAAAAGCACAGAAGTGTCAGTAAGTGAATTCAAGTCTAGTGATTCTCTTCTGAAATAAAAACATTATGAGTAAGTCTAGAAAATTACAATTCACAAAACAATACATTTTGCAAATGTTAATGGGATGCCTTAGAATCAGTTCTATGAAACCTGAATCTTAGAGATGTGTATACATCATTCATGTGTATAAAGACTCCTTAAATCTTAAGTATACATTAACAAACATAGCCTTCAGGGATTTCATCTGTAGAGCAGAGTAGAGCAGCTTATATAAACAATACAGGGGAATTCCTCCAAGACCAACAGTAATGATTCACAATAACTATGGGACCTTTTTTCTCACAGCTCAGTCCATTTTAGACCATAGCAGGTAAAAGGAAAATACACAAATATATTAATTAAAATACACTTGCTATAGTAGGAAACATGCAATACTAACAAAGTGGTAAGATTTTTGAATCAAAACCAGGGTCAGTACTGGCCAGAGATAACTATGAGTTCCACAATACCTTTTACCAGCCCAGTTAAGTATAAAAAGTAGAAGGGTTAAACTTACGTATTAATAACTCCATTAACGGGTCTTAGTGCTCCACACGATTTGGTAGACAATGACTCAGAAATATGACCAACGGGGGCACCATGGTTTTCTAGTGGCTGAGAAACAGTTTCAATCTGAACAAGGGAAAAGAAAAAGAAAACACATTGATCATCATTTACTCAACAGCACCTCTGCTTGAAAAGCAGTACTATTTCATTTGCACGACGCACCTAACATTTCAGATCACCAACTTGAAAACCAAAGCTTACATGACAATTAGCTTTTGCTTTGGGCAAAGAGTGTTGAGGAACCCAAGTATTTCAGACTACCTTCTGACAAGGAAATAATCTTAACGATTACATGGATTAGAAGCTTAGCAAAAATAATTACACAATAACATGAGCCTTCATCTATCAGGGGTCCTCAAACTTTAACAGGGGGCCAGTTTACTGTCCCTCAGACTGTTGGAGGGCCAGACTGCCGGCCCTGGCACAAGTTGGCTGCTAAGCAGGACAGGCAGTGGCGGCAAATACCCGGCGGGCCAGATAAATTTCCTCAGCGGGCCACATGTGGCCTGTGGGCAGTAGTTTGGGGATGCCGGATCTAAATCAAGGACACAACTAAACATTAGTATTAAGACAACTTAGAGGAAACTGAAATGCAGTTAATGGCTGTGTAAGTTAAGTCTGCAGTATATGCTGAAAGCTTGTTTTCTAAAAACTGTATTTTGTTCAAAAATATACATGCATGTGTGTTAATTCTATTAGGGAGTAACTACTGTCTTAAAGACTATTTGTATCAAGTACTTTTTATTTTATTGTATTTTTTTAATTTTTTCAAATTAACATGAGGGTACAGTTTTTAGGTTACGTTGTTCTCACTTCTAGAGTAAAGTTCCATTGTAGAAGAGCCCCTCACAGAGTGTACATCAGGTGAGATCCTGCCTCATGTCCTCCCTCCTTCTGCCAAATGTCTTCCCCACCCTCCCTTCCCTTTACTGCTGAACTGGACTGTATTAGTGTTTATTGTTCTAATAAGCATGTAATTATTTATATGTTAGTATGGAGAACACTGGATATTTATTTTTCCATTCTTGCAATACTTTATACTAAGAATGCATTTCAATTCCATCCAGGTAAATGTAGAAGATATAAAATCTCTATCTTTTTAATGGTTGAATAATATTTCATGGTATATAAATATACCACAGTTTATTGATCCATTTGTGGGTTGATAGGCACTTAGGTTGCTTCCACAACTTGGCAATTACGAATTGAGCCACAATGAAAACTCTACTGCAAATGCAAATTGAGTATTTTTTAGAATATAAAAATAAATCACAGAAATAGAGGAACAATATGAAAAACACTGAATTCTAATATTCAAAACAAATTGTGTCATTTATTAGATTCAAAAGGAACAGGGGCAGCTGCGAGTGCCAATCACATAGCACTTCAGAAGAACAAACAAATCTGTATATCCAGCTACCTCTCAGTTCTGGAAGTTGCAGAAATGTGAAGGAAAGGCTGAGGTGTTTGTTTCCTTGTATAACAACTGATGGGGGGGGGGGTATTACAAAGTTTTGCTTCTTATAACCACTACCAGTACATTTCTAAGGCCTATATCTTAAAGCTGAAATTCTATTTTTCAGTATTGCTAAATTCCTTTTTGATCTTCACCTCCCTAAGGAGAAACACCAAAGGATGTGCAGATCTAAAAAACAGTTCTAGACAAGTACCAAAAAAACGAACAGACTGGGAAGATATTTTAAAATTTTTAACACAAACCAACCTAAAAACCCGATCAAAATATATACACAGCCAAGTCATGTTACAATGAGTGAACATTGGGTCTTTACTGAATACCCTGTATATTTAGTAATGTATAACGTATCACAGACATCATCAACAACTGTAGTCAATGCAATCAAAAGTATGATAACTTTGGTACACAGACTCATTACCTTAAACTCAATACTGATTTCCTTTGGAAAGCAATATAGTATTATAAAGATATTCATATCTTCTGAGAAAATATTTTAACCAATCTTAAAAATCTACCCTGAAATAACTCAACAAACACTGTAGTATTTACTCAATTATTTATTTATTTTATTGATTTTTTTTGGAGACGGAGTATTCATTATTTTTTCAGAGACTTTACTGCCCTTGATAGAGTGCCGTGGCACCACAGCTCACAGCAACCTCCAACTCCTGGGCTTAGGCGATTCTCTTGGGCAAGCCCCCCAAGTAGCTGGGACTATGGGCGCCTGCCACAATGCCCGGCTATTTTTGTTGTTGCAGTTTGGCCAGGGCCAGGTTTGAATCTGCCACCCTCAGTATGTGGGGCCAATGCCCTACCCACTGAGCCACAGGTGTTGCCCCTACTCAATAATTTAAATACTTGACATCTCAGGAAAAGTTCTAAGTGTGGTATACAAGATCAAAATATTAAAAACCATAAAAGATATTTCTTTTCCCCTTATGCCTGACAAATATTTAAAGAGAAAAAATAAGTCTTTTACATAGTAACAGAAACTGCTTTAGAAAAGGGGGTAAATTTGGTATTTTAATATAATTGTAATTAACTAAAAATCTACATACATGACAAGACAGAAAGTATAGCAGGAAATTTCTTTATGGTATTTTTATATTTAAAATACCAGATAAATGTCTTCTGAAGATTTACTATACAGGGAGAACCCTGTCAATATGGTATGTATGACACAAGTCAAGAAAATCAAAACTATTAAGGTTTATGATGGCATAAAGTAGCAGATATGTGACTTTCAAAGTTTCCTTTCAATACAAAAATGCTGTCACTATGCGCTTTTTACTAGCATACCAATCTAAAGAATGTCTGCCAATTTTATATTTACTCATATAGCTTTTATCATTAACTTATGGCAGTGATGTGCATTACATAATCCATATATTCTACAAGGTACCATGCTTACATGATGGGTGATTCTTCCTTTGATTAAGTTTTCTGGTAGGGACTATGAGATCTAACAGCAAGGACACTTGTCAAGACCAAGTGTTGCGGCTTGGCACTTGTGGCTCAAGTGGCTAAGGCCACATACACCTAAGGTGGAGGGTTTGAATCCAGCCCAGGCCTGCCAAACAACGACGCTGCAACCAAAAGATAGCTGGGCGTTGTGGCGGGTGCCTGTGGTCCCAGCTACTTGGGAGGCTAAGGCAGGAGACTTGCTTGAGCCCAGGAATTGGAGGTTGCTGTGAGCTGTGATGCCATGGCACTCTATCCAGGGGGACAGCTTGAGGCTCTGTCTCAAAAAAAAAAAAAAAAGACCAAGTGTTGCCATTCTTCAACGAAATCTCTCAAAACAATTTTCTTTCTTACAGAAAGTTTAAAGAAGTAAAAGCCCAAGTGTTCTCACCACCCATAGCAAACTGCTGCTTATAGCCTGTCTTGTTTTTCTTTCTTTCTTGAGACAGAGTTTCGTTCTGTTGCCTAGGAATGCATGCCATGGCATCAGTCTAACTCAAAAGCAACCTCAAACTTCTGGGTTCATGCAATCCTCCTGCCTCAGCCCCCCAAAACAGCTGGGACTACAGGCACCCGCCACAACACCTGGTTATTTTTAGAGGTGAGGTCTTGCTCTTGCTCAGGCTGGTGTCAAACCTCCAAGCTCAGGCAATCCATCTGCCTCAGCCTCCCAGAGTGCTAGTATTATAGGTGTGAGCCATCATACCCTGTCAGCCTACTTTCTCTTTTTTTCTTCTGAGACAGAGCCTTACTCCCTTGCCCTGGGTAGACATTCACATTAACCTTTGCCCTAGTTGCTGTGAGCTATGGTACCGAAGAAAAGTTCAGATTTCCTTTGGAAAATCAGGAACATTCACATTAAAGATTAATAACATTTATATATTACACATTTGTAAGCATGAAAAGTTTCAGGCTTGCCTCAAACTCCTGAGGTCAACCAATCCACCCGCCTAGGCCTCCCAGAGTGCTAGGATTACAGACATGAGTCACTGTGCCCAGCCAAGACTACTTTTTTTTTCTTTTTTTAAATTCTTAGTAGACAGGATCTTGCTTTTGCTCAGGCTGATCCCTGCTAAGGCTGGTCTTGAACTGAACTCAAGGGATTCTCCTGTCTTGCTGTCTTGTTTTTCATGCTTACTAATATGTAATGTATACTTAAATGTTATTAATCTTTAATATGAATGTTACTGATTTTCCAAAGGAAATCTAAACTTTTCTGGGGTACTTCAATTTAAAATTGAAGTCAATAGGCAGAAGAGAAATCTTGTTGGGCACATAAAAGCACAGAGATAAAGAACATATAAATCAGAAAGGGACTATCCTAGGATTCCAATCTCCACAATATCAGGAAACACTGGATATTCAGGAGGATCTGCTCAGATATCTTGGGAAATTCCACAATCAAACTGATATCCAAAAGCAGGGAATTTGGGCAAGCATGATCACTCGTTATCAAATACTAAGAGTTTAAAATATTAAACCCAATATCACCGTTCAATTTGGGAAAAGAAAAACACACAAACACATTCACAATGCCTTAAGACAGAATGAGGCCAGGCACTGTGGCTCTCATATAATACCCGAGAGACCCAGGCAGGTGGATAGCTTGAGCTCAGGAGTTTGAGACAGGCTTGAGCAAGAGTGACCCCATCTCTACTAAAAATAGGAAAACTGAGGCAAGAGGACTGCTTGAACCCAAGAGTTGGAGGTTGCTGTGAGCTATGACACCACTGTACTCTACTGGAGTGACAGTGGGACTCTGTCTTTAAAAAAAAGACAAAACGAGTCTAAAATGCTGCAAACAGAATATAAACATTAATACTTCAGAAATGTTAAATCTGCGTACTAATTTAAGTTTGATCATTACTACTTCAGTGATTTACAACATTAGTTTTTTAAAAACTAAAACTTGACTCAGATATCTGTCATTCAACTAAAAAAAATAAAATATAGAAAGAGTGAAAGAATTTAAGACTCTCCCACCCAGGGGATAGAAAAGATCACAGAAGCATCCATTTGCATTTATTTGACATACAAATGTACTGAAGATCTATGTATCTGACAGCCAGAATGAAAAGAAAAGCTAAAGTGGTAGATAGTGTTTCTGTTATCCCTTCCTCTCCAAAGC